TAAAGCATATGAATCCATTTGCTCTATTCTTGGAGAAAATATTATGTTCCACAATACATGCAAATATTGGTTTCGCCGCTTTTAAGACGGTGGTTTTGACGTCATGAGAATGATCGTCCATGCTCTGAGACACCACAAAAGTTTGAAACCGACAATTTGGAAGCATCGTTGAATGAAAGCCCGTCCCAAATATAAGTAGAACTTGCAGAACAGCTCGGAGTTAACCAAGCAACAGTTTCAAAATGACTGCATGAAATGGAAGAAATTCAGAAGTTCGGAAAATGAGTGTTGCATAAATTGTCGTAAAATAGCATTATCCGCTGGTTGAATACGTGCATCTCATCGCTTTCCAGACAGCAAAAATGTTTTTGTCGAAAATTGTTACTTGCGATGAAAAGTGGATTATGTATACAATAATTCCTAATGCAGACATTTGTGCGTGGACCTCGGACAGCCTTCTATATCAATGGCAAAACCAAATGCAGTGTCGAATATAAAGTTTTTTGTCGCTCAGTGTATCAACTGTTACTTTTAAGATTATATGCATCAATGAATCATAATGAATAGCGTTTTAAAAAGTCCGATACTAATCTCAATATTAACCTCACAAAACAGCAGGGAAATATTTCAACTTAAAATAATTAAAGGGTTGAAAAAACTAAAACTTTTGTATACACTGAATAAAATGCTTGCGATTAAAAGAATGTCTCATTTTAAATGAGCCAGGCAAAAATCTCAGAAAATATGAAAGATATTAAGAACGTTTCAAACAAAAGTTATTAAAATTAATTGGTAGAAAAAGATGATACAATAAAATATTGGGGTTTTCGTTTAAGAAAAGTAATGATCAGTGAATATCTCGAAAGTGGCGCCATCAGTAAACAATATGATATAGCTGTTTTATGTCCTCCTTGAAACCATACAACTTTTGTCTGAAGTATTTTTTTCGAACATGCTTGGTTTTCGAGATATTTCGCCGTCCCGGCTTACTTTTTATACACCCTGTATATATACATGTATATACATTTATGTATGTGTGTGTGCATGTGTAATTTTTCTTTATTTTTTTATTTAACTTTGTAGTCTAATACAAACTCGTGTAATATTTACTGCTTAGCGCTTGAATCTCATTTCAAGATGCTATAATTAATAGTTTCTTTTTGCCACTCTGTTTCTTTCTGTCTCTCTCTATTTTTCGTTTTTAAAATGCTTTCGCTTTATATGTGTGTGTAATTTTTCGTCACTTTTTCCCTTGATTTTATCAGCCAGATCTGCATTCTGTACATGCGACTGTACAATTTATAACGTTTAATGCACGCACAGAAGCGATAAGATTAATAATTTAGTTTCGCGTGGATTTATATAATTATCGGTAGAATCGGTAGAACGTGACGCCAAAAATCTCTCTTGCCAAAAGTTCGTCCAACGTGAAAACGTTTCCCCGATACGTCACCTCACCTCTCTCGATAATGCCAGCTCCCGCACCCATGAGCACACGAACGTGTACGCGTGCACATCCTATAGAGCTTTTATCCGTGGCTGATCGGATTGTCCAGTAGCCAAGCGATAAATCGCCGGTTAAAATAATCAGCCACGTTTGTTCGATCGGATCGAATGGTAATGAAGCGCGCGATTCGACCACTACGGTCATAATTGGGTTAAAGGCGAAGGCCCCATAATCGGCTGCACATTCGAACGCAATAGCGGGGGAGGGTATCTACCTTCATGTGTACCTTTATGTGCACCTGCCATACACATATATGCGTGTACGTATGTATGTGTGTGTATGGCAGCGAGGGGAGAAGAGAAGAGAAGGGTGAAGTGAGCGTACGTCTGATGCGGGGATCTCGATCCGAGCTGCAATTCGAGTGGCTATGCATCAGCCGTCGTGTTTGCTATGTCCGCGCTAACTAATCAACGACGTTAATTGGTGCTGATGCCGCGTTCGTGTGCACACACACACACACACACACACACACACACACACACACACACACACGCACGCACGCACGCACACACACTCACACGACGAAGTCCATCTCGCTCGCCGGTGGCGTAAATCGCTCAGAGAAAGCCGTCGATTAAAATGTCGCGAGACCAGTAGTTATGTTGTCAGTTATGTTGTCGCGATGGAGAAACGAGAGCGTTTGTTTGCGGATTCCACCCAGATTACGGCCGACTCCGCTTTTATTTGCGGATTTCATTCGCGCGCGCACAAATGCTCGCCATTGTTACGTTCGATGGCTTTGGTTTCAGCGTTTCAAAAACCAGGCCGCGCAGGATGTTGCTGCCGTAACGTGGCCGTGCCTCTTATCCTCGCGTGTATTTTAATCATTCGCGTTCTCGCAAGGAGTCGACCGTCGTACCGTGCGCATGCACAAAAACGTTTTACGCGTTAAAACATGTCGGACGAGTGCGTCACCTTTGTTCGAGCAAGCCGTCACGTCGTCGGACAGCGCTGTATAATAAATTCACGCTGGGATGACTTTTCAATGGCTTGAAATTCTTCAGACACCAAATTAATCCGTGAAAGAAATCTCTCAAAGCGGGGCCCGGCCAATGAGAGTAAAGCAAGGCAGATTTTCAATGCCGATCCCTCGAGACTCGCTTCGCTCAAATTTCTACAAATTAGCCGAATTCTTTCTGTATTTAATCCTTGAAATCATCAAAGAAAATCACATTATTGCTATCATGGATGAAATTTCACCTCTGTACATATTTTTTTTATTTTATAAATAAAAAATGTCAAATAAGTGCAATTTAATGTTTTATTATTGTTGAATATTAGATGAAAAGTAGAGAAGTTATCATTTGCAGCGGCTACAATGGCTTTTTTATAAGATTAAAACAAAATTCACATGGGGTAAAATTTTACCCCTGTATATTTTTTATTTAAGAAATAAATGTCAAACAGATGCAATTGAATGTTTTATTGTTACTGAATATTGGATAAAAAGTAGAGAAGTTATTGTTTACAGCGAATATAATTGATCAATAAAATCAAAACAAAACTCTCTCTCTCTCTCTCTCTCGCATGGGATGCAATTTTAGCCATGATAGTGTCTTAAGAGTTAAATAAAATTAACTGGCGCAATTAGCTGTACTTAAATAAAACCAAGTAGTAAATTGGCTGACCAACAAAAGAGCATCTTCACAGTATATTCTATCTCAATGTACACGTACAATCACGTTTAATGACCGATATGGCCCAAAATAAACCGAATTATTGGAAACTTGAATAAGTTCTCGCTGTTTTTTCATGAAAATGAATGCTTTAATTAAAAAAAATTAATAAAGAACATGTCATTGAAAGTATTGTCCATCGCTAGCCGCTACTTTCTCCCATCTTTCTGGCAACATACGAATACCATGTCGAAAAAACGACTCATCTTTTGAGATTATCCACGAATCGACCCATTTTTTGGCATCTTCATAAGAATGGAAGTGCTGCTCAGCCAGGCCATGAGTCAACGATCGGAACAAATGGTAATCGGAAGGAGCAATGTCCGGTGAATACGGCGGGGGGGATAGGACTTCCCATTTGAACTTTTCCAAATAGGTTTTGACCGGTTTTGCAACATTTGGCCGAGCGTTGTCATGCTACAAAATTACTTTGTCGTGTCTCTTCTCGTATTGCGGCCGTTTTTCCTTCAATGCTCGGCTCAAACGCATCAATTGTAGTCGATACCGATCTCCTGTGATGGTTTCGTTGGGTTTGAGGAGCTCATAATATACTACACCCAGCTGAATCCACCAAATACAGAGCATGAGCTTGGAACCATGGATATTCGGCTTTGCCGTCGATGTTGATGCATGGCCGGGCTTACCCCACAATTTTTTACGCTTCGGGTTATCATAGTGTATTCACTTTTCATCGCCAGTCACGATACGTTGCAAAAATCCTTTCCTTTTCTGCCGTTGGAGCAGCTGTTCACACGTGGAAAAACACCGTTCGACGCCGTTTGAAGCCTCTCGGCTTCAATTCGTACGGCACCCAATTTCCTTGCTTTTGAATCATTCCTAATGCTTTTAAACATCTGGCAACTGTTGTGTGATCGACTCCTAATGATTCTGCAAGTTCATTTTGCGTCTGACATGGGTCTTCATCGAGTAATGCTTCCAATTCTTCATCTTCAAACTTTTTCGGTGCGCCAGAGCGTTCTTTATCTTCAACATCAAAATCATTATTTTTAAAGCGTCTAAACCAATCTCTGCATTTTGTTTCCGACAGAGCATGGTCGCCGTAAGTCTCCACAAGAATTCTATGTGCTTCAGCTGCAGATTTTTTTGAAAAAAGTAATGCAGTAAAATTCCCCGCGAATACTCTTTCTTTGGCACGAAATTCGACATGTTTAACGCTATGAAAAAATATGTTGTTTACGCTTCGGCGGAATAACATATACTGTCACTTCGAGCCTAATGATGGAGCTTCACGATGAAGTTGGCTGTAATATTGCCCGATGTAAAAAGGCTAAGATAACACTATTTGTCAGGAAACAGCGAGAACTTATTCAAGTCCCCAATACATAAAAAGAAGAGTCAAGAGTAAATTGACGACATCTGCGACGAGAAGCGCGCCTCCATCTCGCAAACGTCTCGTTAATCTCGTTAGAAGCGAGAGAACAGATGTGAGGAGACTTCATTCCTCGCGTTATTTCCCCGAACACATTTCACCCCGCGATGGAGTTTCATCTCCCTCCCAGGCAACCCGCTCTTCTTCTTCTTCTTCTTCTGCGAGAGAGAAAGAGAGAGAGAGAGAGAGAGAGAGAGAGAGATTCAACACTCGCCATTAATAAAGAATCATAGAAACTCAGTCTCGCTCAAGTTCCGCTGGAGAGACAACTCGTCTCCTAACCCGACGTCAACGACACCTTATGTCACTCATCGCCCGCGGTCCGCTGACGGCCCATCATATCCCAGCTCCAGTCGAGACCAATTAACGCGTAACGAAGAATAATCTCATTCTCCTCCCCCTCCCCCGTCTCATGCATCCGTTACAGAGATGACTCGTCGTCCGCTGATTGCGGGATCTCGTCTCAGAACGATGCGCCGTGAGCAGCGTCTGTCCTCATTGTCGCGCGAAGGATCATCACCTACGGCATCCGCAATTAATCCGCACGTTAACGCGAGCCCCTAATTAAACCGCTCGAATCTGCAGGCGGCGGGCCGCTAATTAACCGCCGGTACCACCGCTGTCGTCGCCGGCGGCGGCGAGCCTTCGCCTGGATCAGCCCTATCGTCCAACGACCTTATTCAGCGAGGAGAGCTGTTCGACCTCGCGCGCACACGTGGATTGTCGCGATCACCGCGCGAGCAATGCCTCCGTTCGCACCCGCGCCTCGATAAGAAGGAAAAAGGGCAGGCGACGAGAAGTCGCGGCGCCGCGACGATGCGGAAATATGAGACTTCCTACAGGCGGATCCTGCCGTCCTTGTCGTCCCCGTCGTCGTCGCCGTCGTGGTCGTGGTCGACGCTGCACTGCCGATGCAACCTACACCGGCCGCCGACGCTCACGTCCGACGTTCATTGAGGAAAAATGGGTGCCAATCAGTCAACCCGAAGTGCGCCCACTCCCGGAGAAGAAGGTAAACGATCCGACTTGCGCCTCCATTTCGCGTTTTACATCTCGCTTTTTCTTTTCCCTCCCGCGTTTTTTCCTCTCTTCTTCTTGTCAATTCCCTCGTGAGAGGCGGGGCACGTTGCGCGAGGTAGGAGAGCGCGGGGAACTAATTGGCGATCGATCCTGTCTACTGCAACGGGCTTGAGCCTGCTATTTTAAAAAAAAGGTATCGGGAAGAATGAAGCAATGTGATTTCAAGCGCGATCGACGAGAAAACGATTGCGCAGATTGGCATGCTCTTGATTATTTGAAGAATTTCATGACAGGTCAACTGTTTCTTCATAGATTTTCTGGATACAACGGAGTCGACGGCGTCAGCTTGAGAATGTCTAGACGAAGTATTTTCTACGAGGAGAAGATTCATTTAACGATAAAAGAAGGTTACCGTTAGGGTTGCCAGATATCTTCTTTTGGGAAGGACTGTCTTTTTTTCTAACCAAACTTTTCATGTCTTACCAAGGATACCATTTGTCCTTCCCTATAGTGTGGAAGGAGTTTTCTTCTGCTAATCAGATGTGCCGACTATCTAGTGACATTTTTGTCAATATACTTTTATCAATAATATACAGAGGGTGTTTAAAAAAAAGGTTCAAGACTTTAAGGGCGGATAGTACTCACAAAATAGTGAAACAAAAAGGACCTAATAAATATGGAAAAATTAATATTGTCGAAGTTACGAACAATTACTTATTTTAATTAACCTGCTCGCTTCTGATGCTTACAAAGTTTATGGAAGATTTTCTACATATCCTTCTCCTATTTTTACACACGTCTCACATCTTTGAACCATAGAATTACAAACTTTTTGAAAAATTCCCGGCTTGGTTCTATTTGACAGGTATTTCGTATTCTCTATATAATTCGATATAATTCGTCTAGTCATTTTTCGGCAAGGAGTACATCATGCTCTTAAAAAATCCTTCGTAAAAAATGTCTAGGCGATTTAAACCAGGAGAGCGAGGGAATGAGACTGGCCCACCTCGTCCAATTTATTTTTTACCGAAAGACCTATTTAGAAATGACGAATTATATGAAAGAATACAAATTGCTTATCAAATAGTTAGAACAAATTCAGGAATTTTTAAAAGAGTTCGCAATTCCATGGTACGAAGATGTGAAGCATGTGTAGAAATAGGAGAAGGATATCGAAAATCCTTAAATTTTAAATTTTGTGAACATTAAAAGTGTGTACATTACTTGCTTTAATTGAGATGAATAATCGCTCATAACTCTGACTATATTAATTTTTCGACCCATGTTTATTAGGACTTTTTTGTGAGTACCATCTATCCTTAAAGTTTTGAACCTCCTTTTTTTAACATCCTATATACATGTAAAATATGTATATGAAATATACACAGACTTCTATAATGTATATTGACCGCTAATAAACGTCCTGACTATGATGCATAGGTAAATCCTCCGCCATATTTAAAATGGGCAAAATACGGCAGCGATGGGAATAGAAAGGAGCGAGAAGTAGATAATATGAGATCATCACAGTATTACGTCATTAATTATGAAATGTCCAATTTTCTTAAGTACTAAGTTCGACAATCGATATCTCTGACATTTCACTTTTACAGTTCTTGGTTTTTCTTTGTTGCGAAGGTACACTATTACTATTTCAAACGCATATTTTGATTTGTGATTGTCTTTATTACAGCAATTTTTGTATAACCATGGATTAGTCAAAAGTTCGTGTTATTTTCGAATATGAATTCCGTCGTGAAACCAATGCAGCGCGGACAAGTGGAAATATCAACAAAGTTTGATGAATATGATGAAATGTGATGATGAAAATGTGGCTAATGAACGCGCAGTACGTCGATGGTTTGAGAAGTTTCGTTCTAGCGATTTTAATCTTGAAAATGAGCCACGTGGGCGACCTGAGACCAAGATGGATAATGATGAACTGAAAGCCGGAAAGAAGTTGGAAGCGGATATTCAAACTACGCGTGAATTAGCAGCAAGGTTTAGCGTTACTATTCCAACAATATTGAACCATTTAAAACAAATCGGCAAGGTAAAGAAGCTGGATAGATAGATTTTGCATATATTAAACAAGTGTCAGAAGAGAAATCGTCTCGAAGCTTGGCTTTTTTTACTATCAAGTTATAAAGGTGAACCATTTTTACATGGTATTATTACGTATAGTGAAAAATGGATTATTTTCAACAATCGCAAGCTTTCGATACAATGATTGGATAAAGATGAAGTGCCGAAACACAGTCTAAAACCGAATATTCCCCAAAAAAAGCTAATGGTGTCTGTTTAGTGACCCAGCGCTGGTATTATTTACTACAGCTTCATGAAACCTGGTCAATCGATTACAGCGGATGTCTACTGTAATCAACTGGACGAATTGATGAGGATGCTTGTGATTAAACAGCCGAGATTGGTCAATAGAGACAGGCCAATCCTCTTGCAAGACAACGCTCGATCACATGTCGCATAAACAACGCTGCTCAAACTAGAAGCTGGATTTGGAAACTCTCTATCACCGTATTCACCAGACCTTGCACCAACTGACTTCTTCCAACTGAACTACTTCTTGCAAGGAAAAATATTCAATTCTCAATAAGCTGTGGAAAACGCCTTCCGCAATTTCATCGCCATGCTTTTCAGGCTTCTTCGTTGCTGGCATAAACAAGCTACCGCTAAGATGGCAAAACTGTGTCTATAGTTTAGGCACATATTTTGATTAATTGTACTACTTCTAGTTTGAGATATAATAAACCAAACTTCTGATTCGAGATCGGATATTTAATATTTAATGACTTAATATATAATATGATAATCGCAGTAATAATGAATATCAATATCCAATAGTGTCTATTTCCAATATGGTCGCTACGCTCATCACCATTTGCACTTCGCATCAGCTTTTCGGTTATGCGTTCATCAATGTTAACAGCCTAGGTATATTACATCCTCCCAAAAATAACCGGAATGGCTTTAAGAAAAACAAAAATAGTTAAGAAATCTTGACAAAAATCATTTTATTTATTTGAAATATTCTTCCTCAGCAGAAATACAACGATTTGCACGTTCAAGAAGTGCATCAAATGACTTTTTTATGTCACTGATTGGAATGGTATTGAGATTGCTCGTCGTTGGCCGTTGAGTGTTTTCAGTTCATACAAAACGATTTCCTTTCATCGCCAAATTCAGCTTAGGGAATAGAAAATAGTCGCGGGGTGCCAAATTGGGTGAATATGGGGGATGTTGAAGCAATAAAATTTGATTTTTGGTAAAAAAATCAGTGACAATTGACGAACAATGAGAAAATACATTATCGTGCAATAATCGCCAACTGCCTGATTTTCGATATTCAGGGCGAATACGGCCTACCAAATACTTCAATACACCAAGATAATACTGAGCATTAACCGATTTTAAGCATTTCAAGCGTTTCCTTAGCACTTTTACCGTTTTTAACACAGAACACTTAACCGTTTGAGTCCCAGGGGGTATTGAAAAAACACTGTCGAAGAATCCCAAACAGCGCAACCGCGCTTTCTATAAATGAGTATGAAAAGACCCAAGCAACGCGATAGCGCTTGTTTTATTTTAGGTCGAGAAATACCAAGCAGCGCGATAGCGCTTTGTTTATTTTACATCGATGAATCCCAATCGGACCAATACCGCTTCTTGTATTTGTTAGGTAACGCAATTCTCGTCTTTTTCTCATCGCTCTGTCACATTTATTGTAGTTTGCAAAGCGATCGGACGTATTCTTGCGTAAGTGTTTCTCATTGTTAATAATTGTGTGTTTCAAAATGATTAGACGAAGCAACGGAGCAACGAAGCAAAAGGAATCCATCCAACATGTTTTGATAAACACCGATGTTACAAATTATAATTGTTACTCTCCATTTAAATTATTTGTTCATAACACAAAAATATTGTTAATTTGTAATTCGTTATTTTATAAAATACATCTGTATTATTACATATGCGTACTGTAAATTTATAAATATTTCAAGTTTTGTTCGATAAAAATTATTGAGAAGATAACAATGAAATAAAAATTTTTATTTTGTAATGTATTATTGCATTATTATAGTATTATTCTACCTATTATAAAATGTACTATTTACATTAAAAGGATCGGTGTGATATACTTGCTTCAGTAAATCTGAGCGCGCGACTTCGACAATCGGTAACGCACCGTCAGTTGTCCACAATGATCGAAATGTACTGGGTTTTCTCGACATAAAATCTGAACAGCGCGATCGCGCTGCTTGGGACTCAAACGATTAATGTTGATTCTTTGTTATTTATTCATTTTTCGACCGAGGTATCAAACTACTGTCACTTAAATGCGTCGTATCTTGGCTTCTGGTGAATGAAATATCATGAAATTTTCACAGGTTATTAAGGAAGATTGACACTTCCTAACTCAATCTCTCACCAACAGAAGGAGCCACTGATTTCATTAAAATAGAGCCATTCCGGTTATTTTTGGGACAGAGGGTATATAGAAGTCTGTGAAAATATATAACATATACAAATTAAAAATTAATGTTCGAAAAAATGGCAGATACATTTTACCCAACGACCTTCTCTTTTTTTGTTGCTCATCAAAAGTCTCGGTCGTCCTTCCCTGCTAATTTACAAATCTAACAATCTTAAGCTACGGCACACTTTGAATCTTCCCGTCGAGTTTTCGTTGCGGTGTATTCTCTTTTGCACAATCGGCTAATTAAATTCGACAACTATTTTACCTTTGCACCGAAGAAAAGCGCTACGACCTTTTCAATCGGCCGATTGTATCACCGCCATGTGAGAACTGTAACATTTGTAATCGATCAAAGCAGCGTCTTCGGAAGGATTTGCCTCGTTATTTTATCGCAAGTCGTCAGTGTGCTGTAAAACGTATGCCAACTAAATAAGCTCGTGTAAGCTGAATAATGGCGAGCCAAGCTAGTGAGAAACTCGAAGTACCGTAACTTCCTCTTATCGCAAATTGGCACATTTCCCCCTCCCCTTCTTCCCGCCAAAATTAACGTAGTACGTGCACCGTCTGGATATCATTATACCGTCGGTGGTCGACGGTGGAAACTCGACGAAATGTTAATGCAAAATACAGAAACTCCCGCTCTCTCGTCCTCTCTCTCTCTCTCTCTCTCTCTCTCTCTCTCTCTCTCTCTCTCTCTCTCTCTCTCTTTTTCCTCGTTTTTCTCTTCTCTTTTTCCGCAGTGCGATCGAGCCCGCTGTGTAACAACGCCCAGTTATACAAATTTAGTTACATCGGTTAATGCATCGAAGGTGCATACGCGTGTCAATTAAGACACAGTGACGATTGACTCGGAATACGATTGAAGTACGAGAAGGATAATACGATTATACGCATGATATACGGGCAATGCGAACGCGAGTGCTGAATTGCCGCGGCATTTATTTACCGCTCAATTATCACGCGCTTCGTGAAACGCGTATTGATAGAGAGACGCCGCCCGCGGCGATTTATATCGACGCGCGGCCCCGGTACCGCATAATTCGCATAACTCGCATTCCCGCTCGAGCGGAATGACGGATATGCATCGACAACATTTCACGAGAACCGCCTTATTCTGTTGTGTTCATAGGTCGCTGCAGCTGCAGCGAGTCGCTCCGTGATATCGCAAGGACGACGCGACGCCGTCACGTGGGGGGGAAGTTTTAGTTTCCCTCCCGGTTCGATTACATAGTCGAGCCGTTGCGTTGCCGGGGCTATTAATAAATAGTCCCTATCACATGGCTGTGTGCATCAGCCGATCTTACGGGCGTTTAATTTAGCCCGAGAAGAAAGAGATCTCCAGTTGCATCTTCTCTCTTGTGAATTGAATTGAATTTCCGGGAAAATGCGCTGTCCTCCTTCGATACTTTCGTTATGAGGAGCGCGCTTTCTCATGTCGTTCGCTTATTCGCGCGCGCGGGTGTGTGTGATATATTAAAAACGTAAATTTCAATTTTTCATTCTTAGAGCGTCACGGCTTTAATTTGATAACACCTCAGCTTTCCTTCAACTAGAAACTTATGAGCTTAAATCGGCGTCCTGAAATAAGTGGAACGTCTTTCATCAATATGTCGATCGCGGTTACCATTGGCACATATTGTCGCGTCTGAAAAGTAAAATGTTCATAACGAAGTCGAATTAGCGAAAGATGTTTGTACGAAAAATGTTTGTACGTATTAAGTGCATACGAAAGTTCGTCGGAAATTATTGCAAATGAATAGAAGTTACCGAGAGTCGATAGTTTTGTTTCTTTTACTAAACTTTATAAATTTAAGAAGGTGCTTTCTCCCAGGATTAAGATTTATCTACGGCACCTTAAGTAACAACCTAACCTCATTTTTATTATAGGTAAAAATGAGACTCGATAACGTGCACGTCTACGCCACTATATGCTTTTTTGTTTTTATTAAGAAAAGATTGCTGCAGAAACAAAAAGCTTACTCACCAAATCATCCCATCTGATTTTCATTTATTCAGATTGCAACAATTTTATCTGGTACGCGATTTGCCAACGACAAGAAAGCCCAAAAGTAAATCGAAAATTTCACTGCTTCAAAAGATGTATCGTTTTTTAGAAATGGAATTAGGCAATTATATTAGGACTGTGATTTAATTTTGAGGGTTTTGCAAGAGATGGCATTAATGTCAGTTTTGTTGAAGACATTCCAATCAGAACTATCGTTTCTTAATGCTTTAATATTAATCCTCATTTAGTCATTTACTAACAATAGACGCAGTAAAAATTGTGTTAATACCATCTTACAAATGGAGCTTTCCAAATAGCTTTTCGACATACGTTGCTTTTGTTTTTTAATTAGAAAAAAACGGTAGCTGAAAGTCATAGAATTCTGATAGAAACTTATGATAATGTTGCTCTATCAATTAAGACATATGAATATTGGTTTAAAAGTGGTGATTTTGATGAACGACAAAGATCGTTCGGGACAATCAGAAAAGTTGGAAAATGCAGATTTGCAAGCATTATTAGACGAAAATCCAGCACAATCCACTTCAGAACTTAGCAGAGCATTAAATATTGATCGCACAACAGTTACTACAGTTTAAACATTTATACGATATGGAAAAGATCCACAAAAAAGGAAAATGGGTTCCACATCAATTATCGGAAAATGCTATTGCGAACTGATTGAACATTTGCATTTCGTTGATCGCCAAGAAATGAAGAGTTTTATCGAATAGCAAATTGTTACTGGAAGTGGAAAAATGAATCTATTTCGATAATCCCAAACGAAAATAATGGGGTTGATTCAGTCCAACCAGCACCATCCACTTCAAGGCGCAATATTCACGGTTCAAAGATATTGCTGTGTATTTGATGGGATCGAGGAATTGTGTACTATGAACTGTTAAATGCGAATGAAACTGTCACCGCTGATCGTTATCGACAATAATGATATAAATTGAAGCGAGAATTGGACCAAGAACGATCACCAATGGCAAATAAACGACGCAAAGTGTTCCTTCTTCACGATAATACTCAAGCTTATGTTACATTATCAGTGAAGCAAACGCTTCACTGGTAGCTTCTATTAGAGCTGGAATGGGAAATCTTACCGCATCCCGCATATTCTCCAGACATTGCTCCACCCAGTTATCATTTGTTCCAGTCGATGCAACATGCTCTAGAAGATACATACTTTCATAACTTCAAACAATATAAAAATGCGTTGAAAATTGAATCAACCCCAAAGAAAAATCTTTTTATCGTCGCGGAATCCATCTCTTGCCAGAAGGATGAGAAAAAGTTGCAAAAGACGAAGGAAAATATTTTGATCAAGATATTCGTTCATTATTTTGTTTAAAAAAATCAGTTTTTGAAAAAAACCCTCAAAACTAAATCGCACTCCTAATACCTGAGAGGTGGCAATGGCGGCGGATATTTTGATTAAAACGAATATGTATGATATTTTACTGTTAACTAAATAAAATCCGACGAACTTCCTGCGAGCATCTAATATTCCCACCAAATTTAATTTCGTCTTTGCAAGAACACTCGCGACTCCTACACAAAACTCCGCTTCGGAGGAAGTCAAGTCCGAGATCCTGACGCTACTATTAATGCGCTTCGCCGATTACGTGGTTTGACTATTTTGGGAAGACGGTGGAGAAGCTGCGTGCTCCGGTAATATAAACTGTGCGTTTCTGTATATCCTCTGCGATCAATATCCGCTGATCTGATCAATCCCCCGTTATATACTGCGCTTTGCATCAATTCCGTATTATTCCCGAACGGAACCTCGCTAATTCTCACTACAAATTGCGATTTTTACGAGCAGGCTCGTATCGATCAACGATTATCCGCAATATTTTCAAATTGCTCTTCTTTTATTAAGAGATAGCTTGAATTGTTTACGACTAGATTATGGTGACGCAGAAAAATCCTTTCTGTTTTATTCTTCTTATATTTTTCCTCTTTTTCCTTCATCATAGCTTACTGTATATACCTATTATACAGTGCTGGCAAAAAGTTCCGCAACGGTTGAAAATCTTGGGAAATATTGATTTCTTGGAAAAATGTTTCAAATGAAAGAAGTAGGGCTTAAAAAAGTCTATTAAATTGTGATATATCTATCTGACCTTGATATGACCTTGAAAAGCTCGGTCAACATAAAAATCTTAAACGGAAACCCCTAGTTTTTATTACACCGTTTTTTCTACCAATTACAATAACGTCATTACAATAGCGCCCTGATTTTTGTTAATTTGATGATTTAAAAATTTCCAAAAGTCAGTAAGTTAATAAAAGTCAGAGCGCTATTGTAACAGTATATTCTTAAAACTAAACAGAGCAAAAAAGTCTAGTACCACTTTTTCTTCCGACAAATAGCTAGCGAGATATCGTAAGTTAAATATTGAAAAAGTTATCAAGTTTTCCTCAAATATCTAAAAAAATATGGGGTAAATAAAAAATGTTTTAGACAAAAGTTGTTCAAATTAATTGGTAAAAAAGAAGATATAATAAAAAATGAGGGTTTCCGTTTAAGATTTTTATGTTGACCATGACCGAGCTTTTGAAGGTTATACCAAGATCAGATAGATATCACCATCTAATAGATCTTTTTAAGCCCTATTCCTTTTGTTTGAAACATTTTTCCAAGAAATCAATATTTCCCAAGATTTTCAACCGTTGCGGAACTTTTTGCCAGCACTGTATATTATACATCTATATATTATTTTTATTGTATTATATTTCAATATACTAGAGGGAATATATTTCCCGTAAGCAAATTGAATGAATAAATAATTAAATACATAGGTAAATAAATAAAAAGAAAATTAATATCGACAAGGTTTGGAAACGAACTTGTTGACGCGTGTCAACGCTAGAAGGTCAATCTCGATCGACTGAAATTAGCGTTGAATCGCACGCACGCAAGAGTAAATGTGAAAGAGCATTTCAGTTCTCCATTACTCGTTCATTTCGTGCAGTTCACTTCGATCGTGCCTCATCAACCGGGAGGTTAATATATTACTCGTCTACTGTTAAATCTCCATGATATATTCCGGTTAGGAGTTGGATTTAACTAAATCACATTTATGTTACAGTGAATTTCGATCATTTTCAAATTCTACGCGCCATTGGGAAAGGCAGCTTTGGTAAGGTACGTGCTAAATTAATTCGGAGGTCGAATCGCGACGGAAATCGTACGCGCACGTATCGTTGCGACGCGAGTCGATTGCTTCAGCGGTTTTCGCTCGCAAACCCGATGACCGTTTAACACTAGAAGGACCGGATTTAACGACTCCCCTAGAAGGACCGTAGAAGCCAATTTAGCTCCAAGCATATCTTTTCGTAAATAACAAATAGAAAGAAACGAAACGTATAGGTAACTATAAAATGTAACATTTTAACAATAATATCACTAATTTATTGAACAAAAAAAGCTGTTAGTTATATTATATTGGATTTTTTTTAGTCTTTGATGAAAGACTAAATGTAAAATACAACACTGTTATGTACTACAGGAAACGCATTTGTACATAGTTTACTTTGTACGTTTACCGCATACAAATTTTTTACACGAACATTTTCCAACTTTATGGTTTTTTGCAGTTTTCTTTATTTGACAAAATGGTTGTTTACCTGAAGTATTGTTGGATTCAGTTTCTTCTCCGGTTGAATCAAAATTTTGAGACTTTCGTCTTTGGGCAACATATGGGGCATTCAACTTTTCCACGAGATTTTGTAAAAAGATTCTTCTTGATATTTTTTTATACGTAACTTCCTTGTATATAATCTATGCACTTATGGCAGCAAAATCCAAAATATTATAATAAAAGTATGAATTGGCCAACAGCGAGATTCTATATATGCATATCTATGTGTACATATATACAGTATAAAAAGTACTGGGACGGTGAAATATCATAAAAACTAAATATTTTAGAGAAAATGTTTCAAATAACAATTGTAGGGTTTCAAAAGATCTATTTACTAACATTATTAGTTTTACCTTGGGTGACGTCACCAAGGTCAGGAACAAAGTTACAAGGAACAAAGTTACAGGAACAAAGCTTGAATATTTTAAATGGAACTATCTATTTTTTATTGCATATTCTTATAGCCCTTTTTCAGACTTTTTCAAAACACTATAATCTTTTCCACTTTGAGTAAGCCGTTTCGAAGTTATCGAGCTTTTTATGATAAGATATCCAGCCAGCGGCTGGAGCAATTTCGTGACTTGTATTTCAAACACATGTAATATTAAAAAGTAATACTGATGTATTAAATTTATAACAGCACTAAAATTCACCTTCGAATCATTTCAAATCAATTGCAATGAATTTGACTTGAAGTAGAACACATTATTTGTACATGATACGCGTTGTTTCATACGGAAAAGATAAATGATTATTCTTACTGATTTTTCTTTCTTTAATTGAATTATCGATTTTGTTATCTAATTAATTCAAATTTCTGTTTATTGGATAAATCCTTTTGTTTCCTAGCTTATTCTTTAGACTTTACTGTTTCTTTTAGAGATTAACATTATTCTCAAACGCTTTTGTAAGGATCTTGCTTTGGCTGGCTGGATACTTCTTTGATCTTGCCTTGGTTGGCTGGACATCTTATCATAAAAAGCTCGATAACTTCGAAACGGCTTACTCAAAATAGAAAAAATTATAGTGCTTTGAAAAGGTTTGAAGAAGAGCTAAAAGAATATGTAATAAAAAATAGGAAGTACTGTTTAAAAAATTCAAAATGATCTTATCCTGACCTTGGCGACACCCAAGGTCAAATTCATAATGTCAGTAAATAGATCTTTTGAAACCCTATAATTTTTATTTGAAACATTTTTTTCTAAAATGCTTAGTTTTTGTGATATTTCACCGTCCTAGTATTTTTTATACACTCTGTATGTATATAATTCCTTTTTATTAGGTGTACAAATGAATAATCCAAATTATTTTAAGCAGTTATGAAATCAATTTTAAATTGAATAGATTTTCCTGCTCTTTTGTGATTATGCAATGTTGACATATAGCTATTAAAAAGAACATATAGTTTGGCGAAAGGCCCAACATAACCTTCAAAAGTATTCAGTTCAGTACAGTCGAAAAGGGCAACAGATAAGGTGTATATCCGACACTGCATTCTTTACGAATTCCAACAAGGAAAAAATGCTGCAAGAGCGTGCGAATCGATTTGTTCCTTTCGCGACGAAGGTGTTGTATCGTACGATGTATGCGCACTTTGGTTTAAGCGGTTTAAAAGCGGTAATTTCAGTCTAATCGACAAACAACGCTCTGGAGGCCCTCCGAAGTGCGATAATGATGATTTGGAACAATTGCTCGCTGAGAATTCGGCACAAACACAAAAAGAACTTGCAGAACAGTTGGGAGTAATGCAGCAAACGATTTCCAAACGCCTACATGAGATGGGAATGATCCAGAAAGAAGGAAAATGGGTTCCGCATGAACTCACTGAAACCAACAAAAATCAACGAGTGGCAGCGTGTCTTTCTCTTCTCAATAAGCAGCGTCGAAAGTCTTTCTTGTGGAAAATCGTTACGGGCGATGAGAAATGAATACTCTATGACAATCCGAAACGCAGAAAGTCATGGGTAAATCCCGGCGAATCACCAAAATCGGTCGCAAAACCCAATCACTTCGGAAAGAAGGTTCTTCTCTGCATTTGATGGGATATCAAGGGCGTGCTTTATTATGAGTTGTTGGAACCGGGTGAAACAGTTACTGCGGACTGCTAGCAACGTCAATTAATCTGCTTGAATCAAGAATTGGAACGAAAACGCCCGTATACTGGCAAAGGAGAACGTCCAGTGAAATTGTTGCATGACAACGCCAGGCTACATATTGCTTCCAATACAAAAGACACCATAATGAGTCTTGGCTGAGACGTCTTGCAGCACCCGGCGTATTCACCAGACATTGCTCTATCCGATTATCACTTGTTCCGGTCGATGCAACACGCCTTGTCCGATATGTACTTCCAATCAGTGGATGAGATCCGAAAATGGCTTGACGACTTTATCGTGTCCAAAGACGTAACATTTTTCCGAGATGAAATTCATCAGTTGCCTGAAAGATGGCTTAAAGTTATAGAAAGTAACGGCGAATACTTTGATTGAACAATTTAATTTACCTTTTTTTAAAATAAACCTTGAATGTAGCTGAAAAAATTGGATTATTCATTTGTACACCTAATAAAAGCGAACAAGTAGGTAGACACATATAAAAATATTTATCTATCTATTTAAAGTCATAAAACTTATAAATAAACCCGTAAAACATGCGAGAATGCAATATCACATATAAGGGCGATAAATTGGCTCCAACGGTCCTCTTAGGTAGACAATTAAATAAAAATTCAATCATCTTATATAATTGAAAAATTTTGTTACCAAAATTAAGAACATGAAAAATGATGAAAAGTCACAAAAGGATATTAGGTGGAGGTAAAATTGAAAAAAGTTATAGCAGTTTGAATTTCGCGAGGAGCCAAATTGGCTGCCTCGGTCTTTCTAACGTTAAGCTCGCGATTTCGACCTGATATTTTTGCATTCTCCGAGCAGTTTACCTGCCAGCAGGTCCAACGCTTGCATGCTGGCAAAGTGCACGCTGCAACTCCCTACGTTGCACGCGTCGAGCCGCGTTATCACTCTCAATAATTTATGCACGACGTCGCCCTTCAGTCGAGAGCGGGAAAAACGAAATTGAATTTTTTTCAATATAAATTCTTGTTCCAGCCAGTGATTAAATGAGAGTGATCGCTGACGACGTGACGAACGCGCAAACGTATCGGAATATTTACGGCACGGGGACAACGAGCGCGCGTATCGCGTAGATCGCAAGGCGAAGATTGTATTTACGCCGCCATAAAATATCGTTATGGTCCTTGTCGTAAAAAGGGAGGAAAAAAGTATGTCGCCGCTCTTATATTTGTCGAGTAACTCTCTCTCCGCAAATTTCCAACCTCGTTTCCTCACTTTTATGACAGCAGCGGCGGCTGCGTGACATCGCACCGTCCATAAACGTTAGATTGGGAATCAAATTTTTATAACGGAACGCGTTTACAGTTCAAAAGTACTCTCAATTGCGCATACGGATATTTTCATAGTACAAACAAATAAAAAGAGAAAACTGCGAAACGTCTTTCTCCCTTTTACTCTCTCGTTCTCTCCTATACATATATATTCAAGTAAAATACTTGACAATTGAAGCGACATAAAAAAATAGTAAAGTAAACATCGATATTGTGATTTATATCGAATATTTCGGATGAAAACGATTTTTGTCGTATTTTATGTGCAAAAAAAGAGCTAAAGTTGAATATTTCCGTCATATCTAACTTGCTGATTTGAAAGCAACACTCGTACGATGTAATAGTTTTAGCGCCGTAGGACACAATTCAACGCGCGTGAAATTTAATTCATGTGGGAATTCGCACTTTTAGGTCTGCATCGTGCAGAAACGTGACAGTACTGGCAACATGTACGCCATGAAATACGTACATAAGAACGAGTGCGCGGAACGGGGCGCCCTGAAAAACGTGGCAAGGGAAGTAGAGATCCTGTCGAAGCTGGAACATCCTTGCCTGGTGAATTTATGGTTCAGTTTCCAAGGTAAGATACTTCTGTGCTCAAGTCGTCTTTTCGAAACTTAGAATCACACGAGATATGTATGCAAAAATATCTCTGGATATTGCATGTATCGGGAATGAAATTTAGTTTCGAGGGTTCTTTCCTCAAAAACTATTTTATTTAAACAAGATTTACTTAAACATTTTTAATTTACTTAAACAAGATAATGAACGAATACCTTAATCAAAATATTTTCCTTCGTTTTCTACAACTTTTTCCCATCTTTCTGGCAAGAGATGAATTCCGCAACGATAAAAAGATTCTTTTTTAAATTTCATCTAATTTTCAACAAATTTTCGCTTTTCTTCGAAGTAATGAAAGTGTATATATTCTCTAGAGCAGAGGTTCCCAACTAGGGGTGCGAAAAAACGTTTTTGGGGGTGCGAGGAAAAATGATTGTAAATAATAATGATTAAGATAAATTCTGGAATAATTCAGCATTTTTACCATCAAATTAAAAAAAATGTTATTAAAATTATATGTTTTTTACGTATCTTTACGTATATATTCATTACGTATCACTATGCGAAGTTTGATACCACAGATAATAATTTTATAATATTAAAATGATAGTTAATTTCTATGAAACAATACTATGTAATAATAAATTATTATAAATTAACTTCTTAAAACCGTAAAATCTAAACAACTAACTTTTACCATAAAACATACGAGTTATTTTTTTTGTAGAGAATGCGAAGGTTCATTAATAAATTTTTAGGAGTGCGAAATACAAAAAAGGTTGGGAAACCCTGCTCTAGAGCATGTTGCATCGACTGGAACAAATGATAATCGGATGGAGTAATGTCTGAAGAATACGCAGGATACGGTAAGACTTCTCATTCCAGCTCTAATAGCGTTTGCTTCACTGATAATGCAACATGAGCTAGAATATTGTCGTGAAGAAAGGTCACTTTGTGTCGTTTATTCGCAATTAGTGATTTCGTTTTTGGTCCAATGTTCGCTTCAATTTGTATATTTGTTGTCGATAACGGTCAGCGGTGACAACTTCATTCGCATTTAACAGTTCATAGTATACAACATCTTCTTGACCTCACTAAACACAGAACAATATTTTTTAACATTGCGCCACGAAATGGATGCTGCTGCTTGGACTGAATCAACTCCAATGACTTTTTTTATTGGGGATTATCGAAATAGATTCATCTTTCCACTTCCAGTAAAAATTGGATATTCGATAAAACTTTTCATTTCTTGTCTAGCGATCCGAAGAAAAATTGATTCCAAATCGCACACGACTGAAAATCTATGGTTGAAATTCTGATCTTTCTGAACACGCGATATGCACTAATACTGAAAGAATCGGATCATTTCTGAACTATCCTGCAGACTTTGCGGCCGCAAAAGTCGCGAAGAAGTAATTAAATTAGCAGCCACGTCGGTGCCGTTATTGATTTCCAATTGGAGCAATTAAAGAAATTACTCTGGCGGATTCGATAATGATTCCACCTTTTTTGCTCCTTGCCAGTGATATAATTGATGGTTGAATTAAATTATACTTGTTGGAGCTTCCTCGATACTAGCGACAATCAGACACAATTCTCTTTATATAATTCTCTTTATATACATAAAATTGTGTACAAGATGTCCCACTTTATCGCATTATTTTGTAATAGCAAGTTTCTTAAAATATTTGGAAACAATATTTCTTGGAATGAAAATGTCAGGAAGTGGCTATTTAGTACAATCTTTAACATTCTGTACTTTTATAAGTAAGACTTAAATCACAATTTTATTACAGCAAAATCCATTTAACTTCATTTAACGTTAGCTGAAGAATGTAATTGTGGTATTGTTTAATTTGCTCCGTGCGGTTTAATTTGTGAAAAATCTCGGTAATTATTTACTTTACGATAGTCAGTTTCAATAATTCCGACTTTGTGTTATTGTCTTAGATTTATCTTACTGAATAATCTATTGTAGATTTTAGCCATCTCTTATTGTTTATTAAAACTCATTAACAAAGAAGTTTCATAGATAGAGTCTATTTTTTTTATAAATTAGAGTTAGGTTAAATTTTTCTTCGGGAAGGATGTACCCGAGGATGTGTCGCTCGTATGTACTGTTTAACGTTTTTTAATATACACTATGTCACAAAAATAGACTTTACTTTTAAAACTTTTCTTCTTAATTTCTACTTATGAAACTTCTCTTGTTTAATTTCTGCTTATGAAACTTCCGTTGTTAATTTCTGCTTATGAAACTTCTGTTGTTAATTTTCTAATAAACAGGGAGTGATGGTTAAAATTTGTTAAAGGTTATTCAGAAGAATAACAATAACATATGTCAAGGTTATGATCATTGAAGTTGACTGTCCTAAACTAAATAATTAAAGGAGAAGTTGGTGTTAGAGTCCTCCATTTATATTTTGTACAATAACTTTGTCAATGATCAATATCTTAAAGTGAGAACTAAATGATTACATTTATCACAGTATTGTTTAATCGATTATAGACTCAAATTTATATAATGTTCATTACGTAGGATGTTATTTATAAAAATGTGGCAACACAGCATGACGGGTCGGCGAAAAAATAGGTTGATAATATGGCCTCCCAAATTGATACAAAAAGTAGATTTTGTTTAAAGTAACACAAAGTGATTAGTTATGAAATTATATATTTATTCAAATTAAGCTCTTAGAAGGAGAATAATAATGAATATAACTGCGAATTTTTAATGTGGATATTGACTTACTTGTTGAGAAATACAATTTGTTAAAAAGAAAGCAGTGTAATGCAAACATGAGTGCAACAACAGACTACAGATAAGAAGCGACTTGACGAATAATTACTTTGATATAAAGACCTCGAAAAAGAGATAATATTTATCAGTACTCTTATGGGGCATTAGCAAAATGTCATGCTATTTCATTTAACTTTGCATAACTTGAAAGATGCATAGCCGAATAAAATGTCAAGTAACAAACAAAATATTCAATTGTACAAATATTCATGTAATGATACTCTCTAGTTTAAAAATAATGAAGAAACATGTTAAGTGCTAAAATATATCTTGAAAAACATTTCAAAATGCTTGAAAATAAAAATGCGTATAAAAATGCTAACTACTAATATTATATATAATATTTTGTATTGATATATTAGCATGACTGCGTTAACGGCGATCTACTAAACAAATGATTCCATAAATATCAACTGGAATTCGCTCCCTAATAACGGAGATATTGAGAGTATCTCCCATAATACCTACAAAGGCCATAATACCACCTTCTCCTCTACCAAAATCCTTCTCAATTACTTGTAATTCGGAAATTATCGTTGCCTTGAATTTCCGCGAAGAGAAATTTGATTCCAAATTGACTAAGGAATTTGTCAGTAAACAGTATTACAGTAGAAGTAGAACATTCTAAACACTAGCTGTACCGCGAGAGTTCTTTCAATGTACATTTTTTAATAACGCGCCGGAGCCAATTTTCTCTCCTGTAGAATGAAATGGCGGGTTATCGTTTGCCACGAGTAATCTTTCGACACTTAAATGTCCCGACGTTAATTAAATCACGAAATAAAATCTTGTTAAGATAAGGTCCAAAGTTCATAATCAAATGAAAAATGAGGTTTCATTATCCGTCCACATCCCCGTCGCCTCCAACTGAGAAACTTCTCCCTGACATCTTCCGAGGAGGAATTTATTATAAACAATCTATATACACACAAAAGTGAGGAACACGATCTACATGGCTGCGAAACTTCACGAACGACGGAATTGTAATCTTCCGTTGCATTAACCCTTTGAGGCACGTATTTTTCAAAAAATCCGAATCACATAAAAATTTATATACGGGGTTTCTGGAATCGCTGATGACGAATCCGTTATCAAATTTTAGAAATTCAAGATGGCGGACGCCAAAATGAAAAATCGCGATAATTTCGGTGACAATGGGTATTGTGGAGTTTTTAGAGTCGCTGATTATGAATCCGTTATCAGATTTTCAAAATTCAAGATGGCGGATTCAATATGGCGGCCATAAATATGAAAAATTAACTAATCGGAAGACAATGTCAGGTAAATATATTAGAATTCCATGATCCGGCAACTTAAATCTGCAATCTTGAATAATGAGTTTTGGACCTCGGATTCGTAATCAGCGACCTTGAAAGCTAACCAAAGTACAATTTCAGCTAATCATATAAAAATTTTATGATCCGCCATCTTGGAAAATAAATTTTAGAATTTGGACCTCAGATTCATAATTAGCGAGCTCAAAAACTAACCAGAGTACAATTTTAACTAATATTATGTACATTCTATGATTCGTCATATGGAATCCGCCATCTTGGAAAATGAATTTTAGAATGTGGACCTCAGATTCGTAATCAGCGACCTCAAAAACTAACCAGAGTACAATTTTAGCTAATTTAATAAAAATGTTATGATCCGCCATCTTGGGTCCGCCATCTTGGAAAATTAATTTTGGAATTTGGATCTCAGATTCGTAATCAGCGACCCAAAAAACCCCCAAATCTTGATTTTGAGTAAAAAATTCGCTCATAGCTCGTGGAAAATGATTTTTTTCTGTAAAAATTTGTATTTTTCATATTTTGTTTATTTATAATAAATGGACAACTTATGTAAAACACTTTTCAACCTTTCATGTATGTTCCCATATCATATAAGAAGCTAATAAATGCAAAAAACCCGACAAGAATCCCTCAAATATGAAATATTTCATGAAAATGTAAGAATAAATAGATGGTAAGTATATACTTACCGCTATGCCTCAAAGGGTTAAATATATTAGATTGGCAACTAAGTAATTGCGGATTTCACTGATAGGTGGCATCAGTTGAATTTTTAGATATATTTACATATTCGAAATGTTAAACCCATATTATTGATTGATTAGTTGGTACATCAATTGACATTCAGTAAAAAAATTTATCGATCGGTTGTGTAGTTTTTGTTTGGCGTCGGTTGAAAAATGTAAAAGCAAAACGAGC